ACTTTTCCATACGTGATTAAGTACAAAAAAGGTAAAGATAATGTTGTAGCCGACGCATTATCTCGGAGGTATGTTTTGCTTACTTCTTTGGATGCAAGATTGTTGGGTTTTGAGCAAATAAAAGACTTGTATGCTAATGATTCTGATTTTAGCAAAATATTTCAATCTTGTGAAAAGTTTGCGTTTGGAAAATATTATCGGCATGATGGGTATTTATTCTATGATAAAAGACTTTGTGTGCCTCACTCTTCTTTGCGAGAAATGTTTCTAAGGGAAGCTCATGGAGGTGGTTTAATGGGACACTTTGGAGTTGCTAAGACGTACAAGGTAATGCAAGAACACTTCCATTGGCCACACATGAAAAGAGATGTCGAGCGACTATGTGAACGTTGCGCGACTTGTAAGAAAGCTAAGGCTAAGGTTCAACCCCACGGTTTGTATACCCCTTTACCTATTCCTTTGCATCCTTGGAATGATATATCTATGGATTTTGTGGTAGGATTGCCTAGGACTAGGGCCGGTAAGGATTCTATCTTTGTGGTTGTTGATCGCTTCTCTAAAATGGCGCATTTTATTCCATGTCATAAAACCGATGATGCATCTCATGTTGCTAGCTTGTTCTTTAGAGAAGTTGTTCGTTTGCATGGCATTCCTAAGACCATAGTTTCTGATCGTGATACTAAGTTCCTTAGTTATTTTTGGAAAACTTGGTGGTTGAAGTTAGGGACTAAATTGCTTTTCTCTACTACATGTCATCCGCAAACCGATGGTCAAACTGAAGTTGTTAATCGAACCTTGTCTACTTTGTTACGTGTGCTCATTAAAAATAACCTTAAGACTTGGGAAGATTGCTTGCCGCATGTTGAATTTACTTATAATCATTCGATGCATTCCGCGACTAAGTTTTCTCCTTTTGAAATTGTTTATGGGTTCAATCCCACATCTCCTTTGGATCTAATGCCTTTACCTTTGAGTGTAAGATCAAGTCTCGATGGCAAGAAGAAAGCCGATTTAGTGCAACAGGTTCACAAGAAGACTAAGGAAAATCTTGAAGCCCGGACGAAGCTTTACGAGAAGTATGCGAACAAAAGCCGAAAAGAAGTCATCTTCAACGAAGGCGATCAAGTGTGGGTTCATCTTAGGAAGGAACGTTTTCCGGAAGAAAGATCATCTAAGCTAATGCCAAGAATCGATGGACCGTTCAAAGTGCTTAAACGGATCAACAACAACGCCTACAAACTCGATCTACAAGGTAAGTATAATGTGAATGGTAGCTTCAATGTTTCTGACCTCCAACCTTATTTTGCAGATAATTCAGATTTGAGGTCAAATCCTTTTCAAGTGGGAGAGGATGATAAGATCATGGCCAACCCACTTGAACCACACGATCAACAGCTTGTACCGGAGGAAGCATTGATCGTCCCGGCGGGTCCTCTAACAAGATCAAGAGCCAAGAAGTTCAACCAAGCCATAAATGGATTACTTAAGGAGCTAAACAAGAATCAAGAAGATGTCGTTCAATCCTCACTCATAGTGATCACGGCTCAAGAGGATCGGTAAAGGGTTAAGTGTTGCTTATGCACTCTTTTTCCCTTGTCAAGTTTTGTCCCAATGGGTTTTCTTGACAAGGTTTTTAATGAGGCTTAAGTAACATTTTCAAGCCCCTTTATCAATCCAATTCGTGGTCCAAGGCCCACTCACAAAGCCTTGGCCCATTTTCCCTTTTCTCTTCAAACTTTGCATTTATTACTTGTTGTTATTTCCAAGACTCTTGCATGAGCTTGCATGAGTGTAATTTACAAGACACTTGTGCATGCTCTTGCATGTTTTCTCTTGTCTTCTCTCCTCTCCTTCGTCCTCCTTACTCTATATAAACTCCATGTATCTCTCATTTGCAAAACATCAAACATTTTATTCTAAAACTCTCTCTTTACTTGTTTGATCCGAAAAGTGTGTAATATCTTTTCAACTTGTTTTCTTCTTAGTGTGTAATATCTAAGTTGGATCCAAGCTTGTAGTCTAAGAGTTTCTCATCCCTCTTGGAAGTACACCTCATTCTCCCCTTCATTCCGCTGCATCCACTCTATCTCGTCATTACCCTCATTCATCGTCATTCGGCTGTTTTGTTCAAGATCTATCCATCATTCACCATCAATCTCGCCACATCCATTTCAAAAACATCAAAGTGGTCCTTGGAGCATAGATCCACGGCAAGGAGTCTATCAAGAAGGCTTAAGTATGGTTAGCTAGATAGAAGGAAGAGTTATGGTGGAGAAGAGAGTTATGGTGGAGAATAGAGTTATGGTGCAGAAGAGAGTTATGGTGGAAAATAAAGAAGGCTAAGTAATGGTTAGCTAGACAGAAGGAAGAGTTATGGTGGATAAGAAGAGTTATGGTTGAGAAGAGAGAGTTATGGTGGAGAAGGCAGAAAGCTAAGGATGGTTATGGTGGAAAAGACAGAAGGCTAAGTAATGGTTCGCTAGACAGAAGGAAGAGTTATGGTGGATAAGAGAGAGTTATGGTGGAGAAGAGAGAGTTATGGTGGAGAAGACAGAAATCTAAGTATGATTAGCTAGACAGAAGGATCCTTTTCTCTTTAATAAGTCATAAGTTATCAAGTCTAAGTATTAACATATGTCTTATCAGAACAAGCTAACATACATTAAATACTGTTACCATGAGAAGGCTAACAAGATCTAACAAGTACAATGCATTATCAAGTAACTACCAATCAACAGTCATACATCCTTTTAATTAGGTAGTATAGTTGCTTATTTATCTCATACAGTTAGCTAAGTTGGTCGTACACATAGCTATTTATTAAACGTTCTGAGCTAAGAAGGGAGTTCACATTCAATACCAAAGTAGTCACTTAACAAGATGAATCTAGTTTTGAAACTATATCAAAATTGAAGATCAATCATTAACAACAACGAACAGACAGTTTTAAGATCATTCAACAACAATCATACTTGAAAATGTCGAGAAGGAAACAAGTGCTTACCTTTTAATGTCGATGAAGATGTTGGTTTTCGTGGTTATTTTGTCCTTATAATGCTTCTTCACTACTCACTCCTTAGGCCAGACAAGACAACCATGTAAAGAACAAAGAATTTGAATATTAGAGAATCATAAAACACATGAAACAAATTACATTTACAGAAAATTTAATACTTGAATTGTAAAGATCTATCATTCACACTCTTTCTTCTTAATCGAAAATCGGAATACAAAACCGATATCATAAAACCCTAGATCTAAATCCTAATTTCGATTCCCAATTATAAACCCTAGATCTAGATCCTAATTTCGATTCCCAATTAGAAACCCTAATCGATTATCAAGACCCAACAAAACTGACAAAATCAAGACAAAAACCATACTACAACTCCATTTACAAGACCTAACTCCCCAGAAACTTCTCGGATTCCGATTACATAACTCCCCATAAACTTCAAGGATTCCGATTACATACCTATTTGGGTCTGAAATCGGCTTCGTTTGGGGGGTATCGTTTCGCCGGAAGATTGTATAGCGGTGGAGAGGAGGATGAAGCTTTCCAATCGCCGGAATATACTCTCGAATTCAATCGCCTCACCAGTCTCCTTCTTTCGCAACAAAACCCTCGAGAGACCGAGAAAAAGATGAAAAGAAATTAAACTCTTCGCCCCCATTTTTTCTCCCTTCAATAAAGCTTTACCAATGATAATTGGACACGTGGCAGGAAGGACGAGGTAACGACGACCCGTTCGAAGGAACGTTTCTTCATTTTAATTGCATTTGTCATTTAAATTTAAATGGGTTTTGGTAAGGAACGAAAGGAAGAAGCGCCGATGCCCCTAGCCTTAGGGCATGGGCATACCTGGGACCGGTTTTAGTCTCAATTTTTTTTTTCTTTTCTTTTTTCTTTTTCAGATTTAAAAAAAAAAAAAGTAACCAATGGTGGACCGCCACGTGTCAGTGGGGCCCGCAAATGGAAGAGGGACTGTCTCGTTTAAAAAAACAATCTAATATTTTTTTCCTTTTTTGATTTTTATTTTTCACTTTAATTCTGAGGGCCTGCTAAATGGGACTCCAATACCCATGTATTATGTCACCATTTAGACTATGGTATTATAATATGTGTTTTGATCTAGTAAACTTGTTAAAATAGTACCTATACTTTTCAAAGTCACTAATATTATTGCCGACAGCCGACACTAATAATTAACCAAAGGATCCTTTCGTCAGTTCGTGTATGATAACGAAGTGGCCGACCATGTATTTCAGTCAGGACACATGCTTGAATTTAATTTAATTTTGTTTTTGATCAACTTTTTTCTTAGGAAAAGAAATGATTCGAATTCTCGTAAGATTTTTTTTTTCTTTTTCTTTTTTTCGTTTTTTTCTCATAAGATTTAATTTAATATGTACATCTGTATAGCTTTTTAATATGCTCTTTTGATATTTGTCATTCTCCGATTTGTACAAAAAAGTCATTTTCCAATTAATTTAAATAGTTTTCACTAACAAAGTCGTTAACGGTTATTAGATGCTTCAATTTACGGATTTAACATTATAATTTCTTTGGTTTGATCAACAAAACTTAATATTTAAAAATTTGTGTCAATCGTAAGTTGATATTTTAAATGATTTACAATAAAGTTCATGTAAAATGGTATGAATTGATAATTAATGATTTTTTAATATTTTTCGATAGAAAATTTATAAATTATGCTTGCAAAAATACGATAAAAGTCATTCTTGTCAGGTTGTGGTGTTCCAACTTGTTTTTTTTTTTGATACTCATGTGTAATCATCATCTAAGTGAAAAGTGCATGTTAATATTCATATTAGTTTTTTACATGTTATTTTTTAATGTTGATTACTTATTTTGTAAAAATGCTTACAAAATAGTATGATCATATGTCCATGCGTCTAGTATTCAACCGGTGTACGCAGAAGACTTTGTGTCCAATTAGACATAATTTAAGTACTCGTGAAACTAGAAGAGCTGTGTCCCAAACCATTTTAATTCAAATTTGTTTCTACATGTACTACAGAATAATTTAAAAGAAATAAAATATAATTAAAAATTACAACCATATAGTAGTTGAAAATATCTAAGAGAATATAATCTCTATCTTCTTTTTAAAGGAATATAATCTAGCCCAATTAATTGTATTATTATTACTTCCAATAAAAGAGTTATTCTTATCTTTGCCACGCCATATATCCTTTTTTCTTTTCTTAATAGTAGAAAACAAACCAATAAAAATATCTTTTTGATAGTGATAGATTAGTATTAATTATGAATTATCCATTCTTGGGCTATAAATAAAGACCTTTGAGATCCAAGTTTATCGCCAAAGCAACCAAACACACAAAAGAGAGATTTACTACAGCAACCAAAAAAAAAAAGATATGGCAGGACTCATCAACAAGATCGGAGATGCACTCCACATTGGAGGAGGCAACAAGGAAGGTGAGCACAAGAAGCACGAAGAGGAACACAAGAAACACGTTGACGAGCACAAGAGTGGTGAACACAAAGAGGGTATCGTTGACAAGATCAAAGACAAGATCCATGGTGGAGAAGGCAAAAGCCACGATGGTCATGAAGGCAAAAGCCATGACGGTGAGAAGAAAAAGAAGAAGGACAAGAAGGAGAAGAAACACCATGGTGATGGTCACCACAGCAGCAGCAGTGACAGCGACAGCGATTAAGGTTTTGTTTTGTTTTGTTTCCTCAACTTAATAAATCATTAACTAAAAAAGAATTATTAAGCAAATATTTGTTAATAAGTCTTAGATCTTGAAACAAAAGCTAAGTATTACTAAGTTCTTGATCTTGAACTCAAAAGTTTTGGATCTTGAAAACATTTCGTATTATCTTTAAGCAAATATTAATTAATAAGTCTTGGATGTTGAAAAATGCTTAATACGCGTATTTAGTGGTCGATCTAAGTTATCAATGAAAAGTTGAAATTTTTACTTATTTGTAAATGATGAACTAATCTTGGATCTTGAACTCATAAGTTTTTGGATCTTGAAAAAGAAAAGTTTTGGATCTTGAAAACACTACGTGGATTCGTTTATTTTAGGATATTTTGCGGATTTTGTTCGGTTTGGTTTGGTTCGGTTCCTCTCGGTTCAATAATTCGGTTTGGTGTATATTTTGCCTAGGCCTAGCTTGTAGATAACTAGATATGTTGAATTATTGTTGTACTTATTAAATGTTTGTTTGATTTGTAGGTGAGGAAGTGAAGAGGATCGCTTAAATAAAACAGATCTGCCTCTGAGTGTTATTAATGATGTTAGTCTGTTCCTATCCTCATAGAGACAGGCTAAAAGAAAGGAGAACCGTGCATCTGTCTTTTTCGTTTGTTATGTTCTTGTATTTCTTGTCATGAAAATAATGCTCATGTAATCTTATCTAAATCTAAATTAATAAATTGATGTTTCCTAACTTGTAAGACTTTTTTATTTTGTTTGAACAAGATCTTTGATGAACAAACAACTTGCAAGTCAAATAAGTCGTTGTTAAGATTAAAAAGAAAATAAAATAAAAAGAAATCTTTTTTTAATAAAGACTAGTAAAGAAATGAGAAAATTATTAATTCTGCCATGTACAGTGACCAAACTCTTAAGAAATACCATTTCCATAAATTTCTTCTCTCGCCTGCCACAAAAGTCATGTAAAAAGACCAACATATCCCTAGACGAAATGGGCTGTTCTGTCTCGTGACTGATCAATTTTTTTTTTCATTATCTCTTTTTCTTCTTCATCTTCTTTTTTTTCTTCCAACAACAAATAATTTTAACGGACCAAATCCGTTGGACGAACTCCGGCGGACAAAATCCGGCGGACGAACTCCAACAGACCAGATCCGACGGACCAGTTTCGTCAGACCAGATCCGGCGAACCATAGCAATTCTGGTCCAGATTCGGCAGACCTGATTCGACGGACCAGTTCCGACAGACCATAACTCCAGCGGACGAGTTCTGGCAGACCACAGTCGCTTCTGATAAACTATAACCAGCTCAAGCAGACCAGATTCGACGGACCAGTTTCGACCAACCAGGAAGACGAGTTCCAATAGACCAGATCTGGCGGACGAGTTTAGGCGGACCATAGTCAGTTCCTACGAACTTTAACCAGCTCCGGCAGAGCAGATTCGGCGGACCAGATAGACCAGTTACGATAGACTAGTTGTGGCAAACCAGATCCGGCGAATCATTTTCCGGTGGATAAAAACTAGTTATGATAGACTTTTTCTAGGTGACAAAATCCGGCGGACCAGTTATGGTGACCTGATTCGACGATTGACAATACATTTTTCTGTATATGGACAAGATTCGGCGGATCAGATGTAATGGACTAGATCTTGTGGACGAGATCTTTTTATTTTTATTTTTAATTTGTCTATCGTTTTTTTTGTCTCTGCTCCTTCACCACCCACAACTTCCACAAAATCTTTCTACTTGTCCTCCATTAGCACCCACCAATTTGTACAGATCTGGTTTACATTGTGTCCCTAAATAAATCAAAACTTTATTTGTGTCCTTCTATAGAACGTCCGCGGTGGACACGCATCGGAGTTAGAGGACACGCATCAGAGTTGTCTTTTGAATTCTGTCAAAGTGAGTTTTCGATGGACCACATCAACTTTATATATTTTGTCCATCATATATTACTTACTCGTCCGTTATTTTTGACATGATCCATTACCCACAGGATATTAGGCTACAACCCAGCAATTAATGGCTATTGCTGCCAACAGAAAAAGCAAAGTTCCACTCTCCAATGCAAAGGGAAAAATCGCCATTGTAACTCTCTTTGTGGCATAATTTCAAAGAAGCTTTTGTTAATGGCAGTTTCAGAAAATTGAGTTTCCAAACTGGCATTCTAAACAAAATTCCCTAAAGAAATATTGCTACTCGTTACGAGTTCTAATTATAGTGAACTATATTCTTTTATTTTTACTCTTTATTAATAAGTTATTTTCTAATTAAGTTTAAACTCGGTAGTTACCCGTGCCACGGCACGAACAATTCGATTAAATAAACCTCTGTGTTTATGGTGAAGATTTATACGATTTACATAACTCGGTATAGTAAAAGATAAATGGTGCAGATAAATGTGATTCGAATACTAAAAATGCCTAGATGCATTTCGTCATACTCTTGGTCCAAAAACATTCTAGAAGATCCATATTGAGACATAATACACGGATTACCTATTGAATAAAGAGAACCAAGTAAAAAAGATTTTATTATTCATTCATTACTATTGCATACATAGACTTATAAACTTTCTGAATCAAGTTTACTTACCTTCAAATTCAGTAATTCTCCAGAAACGAAGAACACACATTATCGGTCTATCCACAAGGTGTTCGAACACAATATATGTCGACTCTTTCAGGATTTTTCTAGCAAGTTTACCTACGGCCACACAATGGATATATTTCCTCTTGTAAAATTTTGTAAATATTAGGGGATACTTAAATACAAATTAATCGTTGTATATATATAATGAATAAAATAAAATTTTAATTCAGTATATGTTTCATCTGTCAAGGTAAATGTGACAACACTCTCAGCATTTGCATAACCATATTCTCCATCAACGAAATTAATTTCACGCATTTTAGAAACGTCTAAAAAAATACCACTTGCATCTGAATTGAGATAGTAACATATTAACACATAATTAAACTAAAACTCAATTATAGTGGAATACAGTTTTAGTATAAAAGGATTTTTATATCATAAAAACTATCAAAATACATACCAACACAGTATTTGCGGTCCTCTTCATGTGCAAAGTCAAATTTTATTGCAGTGGTGAAATTGAAAAATTGACTATCGATGAACGAAGGCATTTCATGCATAGTTGTGCCGTGCACCATTGTTATTGTGAGATGATTGTGTGAGTTTTTAATAGGTAAGCGATTTTCAATTACCTGGTAGTTAGTCAATTGGTACCATGAACCCTCACGAATTCGATTATGGAAAAGGAGATGCGTATCTGATGTAGGGTATTGTAGCATCAATACTACAACCATGAAATAAACATGATAGATAAAGAAAGAGTTAAGAAGGATGAATATACTAAGATAAAGCAATAATTTTGCGGGAACGAAAAGTAAAAACTGTGGCCTGACCTTCTCATCAACCAAAATCATCTCCTTCCTCTTTCCGTTCGGATCAGGTTTAGGCTTCCATATTGATAGAACTTTAACAATCACACTCCAATTAGTTTGATTGGTAGTGAGCTCAGAGAAGAAGTTTGTGGTTGCCATGACTTGTTTACAGAAGATTGTGTAGTGAATAGGCGTTCTTGTGTTTTGAGATTTTTGTAGATGCCCTTTATATCTATGATAATATATTATTTTTTTCTTTTTTTGCCTACATCTATGATAATATTAGATCTAGTGTCTTGTAGTTTAATATGTAAAATAAATAAGGATGTGTTTTTAAATATTATATAAGTTAACTATTTTTATCTTTCGAAATTCTAAGATGAAAAAACTGTCCTCGAAGCTTTTCTTTTGCAAAATGTGGAATATGTTATATGCATAGTACTATTATCTTGTTTTTAAAATTGAGTCAAACGATGAAAAGGGATGAGATTTTCTTGTTAACTGTGTGGTCATATCAATTTCATTTTTCAATGTATACAATATTAATACTTTTGACTGAAAAACATCTCATTACATCTTTGCCTATATCAACTCATTTGGACGGACAACACAACAACACACATTACCTACTTTTCGAACCTATATAATACTGTTTTTTTACTGGCCATATAAGACATATAAAACGAATAGAATAAGATTTAAAATTAGTACTAATGTTTTAAAAATAAGAAAATCTTACAATTATTGATTCTAACAAAACATATTGTTGTACCTGGAGCGATCTTCCGGAATTATTAAAGGTTCTGAAATACTTCTTTGAAGACAAAATTCCTTGTTTTTGTTTGCGGGTTTCCTTTTGTATATGTTATCAGAACTTTCAAGCCAGATTTTGAACTTACCCGGGACCCGGGACATTGCAACATATAGTTGGCGATGTGAAAAAAACCGGCCTTGGTAAATATATCCCGACTTTAGAAAGTGATTGTCCTTGGCTCTTGTTGATGGTCATTGCAAAGGCAATAGATACTGGAAATTGTCTCCGCCTCATTTTGAAAGGTAATCTTGACCCTGATGGTGTTAAACCCATTCTTGGCAACAAAACTAATTTACCAACTCTGGTACCAGTTAGGATTCGTGCTTGCAAAACATGATCTGCCATTTGTAGAATCTGAAGTCTTGAACCATTCATCAGACCTCCATGGGCATTAATGTTGCGCAACAACATTACTGGGCAACCTATTTTCAAACGAAGAGCATGGTCTGGTACACCAGAAACCTTGATTAAATTAAAAAGTCAGGACTATATGCATGATTGTCTTTGTTACGTTTATCGAAAGGATGGAGACTATCCGAACTTAAATAGATCCTCTCTTCACCTGTTAAACGAGATACAAAAATCTAATTATATTAAGTAATTGTCATTTTTCAACAGATATTAGAAGATATAAGGTAAATATACTACTAACCGTCTATTCTTGATAGCATGTGGTTATTAATTGAGTTGACATATCATTCGTAGGACATAATATAGCTTGGATTTGGAAATATAAAGGATCCTTTTCGGTGGCGAATGAATTCTCATATATTTCCCTAATGATCGATTCAATAGGATTGTCTACTTCGGTGATAAGCAACTCTTCCGGGTTATCAATATCAGCAACTCCATCATTTGGCTCGTTTAGTCTGCCTTCTCCTACATAAAGTATCCATTTAGAGAATTCTTCAATTTCATGGGTCTCAATAGAACTAATGTTTTGAAACAGCCTCATATTCTTTGTCAACTTCAAAACTTTACAATGCCCCCAAAGGTAAGATGCATTCAATGATGAGTTTACTATCTGTTCTCTACCAGCACCAACTATCACAGGAAGTATCTGACGGAAATCACCACTGAAAAGCGTAACTTTGCCTCCACACGGTTGATCTTCTGGACCTTGTATTATATCTTGAAGTCTTCTATTCAAAGTTTCAGAAAAATATTTACTCTTCATCCCAAATGATCAACTTCACTAATTGGATTAATTCACCTAGATAAGAGGACCTTGACATGGTGCACACTGAAGTTTCATGGACATGTATAGGAATACCAAACCTCGAATGAGCAGTTCTTCCACCTAACAGAAGTGATGAAATACCGCTAGATGCTACGTTTAACACAATGTCTCCTTTTGACCTTATTGCTGCCGATAAGACTTTCTAGAGGAATGTTTTGCCAGCTCCTCCAAAACCGTATAAGAAAAACACACCACCTCTATCGTGTACAATAGCGTCTATTATCTCATCATATACCTTCTTCTGCTCTTCTGTTAGCATTTTAAC